ATAACAGCTGATCCATATTTTCGTTATAAATTACATGATTCTAAAATGCCAAATTCATCAGCATCACGTCTTGAATTATCATATGAAAATGCTGTTACAGTTTGTGCATCTGTACCAAATTTAATTGTAACAATTTTAGTTACATTTATTTGTGTACCATATATTCATAGATATAGAATATATACATCATTAACTGGTATAACAATAAGTTTATTAATATGTTTTGCACTTATTTTTGTTAATGTTAATCAATGGCGTGAAATATTCTTTATTATAACTATGATACTTGTGATGATTCAAGGTGTTTTTTCTGCTATTTTACTTAATTGTTTCTTTTCATTAGCATCAACATTACCTAGTCGATATATACAAGGTAATATATTATAGTTTTTTTATTAATAGGCTTATTGATTAAAAAAGAGAAAAAGTTTGTTATTTTTTTTTTTTTGTAATCTATTTAGATAAAATAGTTGTATGAGAATAATATATGGAGGAGATTTCTTTTTCTTTTTTTTTGATTTATCTATGTAAGTATTAAGTTTGTTTAGCTATGCTGCTTTGTGTATTCTATCGATAAAAGTCAATAAGATTATATTATTTTGTGATTTATAAGATAAATTCATAAAAATAATCCTTTGATGATGTAAGTTTACACTATATCTATCTTGATTATTCTATACACAAGTGTAAATTAATATTCAATATATTGAATTTCAAATTAAAATAATATGTAAATTAGAAGAAGAAGAAGAAGAAGAACAATATTAGAGAAGTAGTTCAATTCTTTTTAGTAGAAATATACTGCTTCAGTTTGACTAAAGAAATTGTAATTTACAAAATAAAGATAATAAGGAGAAAAACGAAACGTGAATAATTTAGGTCTATTTGAGTCATATTATTCGGATACATTCATCTAGAATTTATTATCTAGTACAGTGGTAGTATAGCTACTCGGAAAGCAGAAGATGTATGGTCCGATTCGTTGCAAAGGGAGATTATTCTTTTGTTCTCTTCTATTGTCATATCATTATGTTGCTATTTTATTTATAACATGATCAAATTTTGATGCTTTAAAGAGATAACTAGAAAACACAGATTCGTGGGGAGATATTCAAAAATGTTCAATTTTCTTCAGTGACAAGAACAGATTTTGTTTACTTTTTACACATATTCTGCTCAATTTTTAGCCCTTCATGCGGTTATTGTGGATAATTTCTGTTGATCACGTTCAGTACCACTTGAATATCCTATAATCAAACTTCCTTCAAATTGTTTTTAATTTCATTGTAAACTATTGTTGGATTTTTATTAAAATGTCAATTACCATTTTTTGAATAACTTTCGATCGTTTATAGCTGTCGAAGTCGGATTTTCGCCATTAGATAGAGCAATGTTAGAAGCTTCTATCTGTATAACATTCATTAAGTTCGAAGAAGTTTTTCAAGGATATTTGGAGTTGAACATTTTTTTTTTTTGTTGTCCACCTCAACAACTTTCGTAGCAACCTATACTCAAATTACACCAAAATATAGTCCAAAGAGAGCTGTATTATCCATAAAATTTCAAGATTTCAAAATACTTCTCTTGAAGCATGAGTCCAAGATGAAAATGAAAAAAGTCGAACAATTATACAGGAAGTACCACACTCTTCGAACTACATTTTGGTGTAATTCGAGCATAGGTTACTACGAAAAGTTGTAGAAATGGACAACAAAAACAAAAAAAATATTCAGCTGCAAATATCCTTGAAAAACTTCTTTGAACTTAATGAATGTTACACAGATAGACGCCCCTAATATTACTCTATCTAATGGCAAATACTCGACTTCGATAGCTATAAACCATCGGAAGTTATTCAAAAAATGGTAATTGACATTTTTTTTAAAAAATCCGACAATAGTAATAGTGTCGTATATTAATCTAAATTATTAATCTGTAATTCCTACGGACTGCAAAAATACAATAGACATTCTATTAAATTTAAGAACATCGATTATTCTACTTAAATCGCTAGTTTCATAAGCAAGAACAAAATTTAAGCTATACTAAATGCATAAAAAAGAAGCTGCTAGTACAATCCCTAGCGGGATTAAAATGTGCGATATGATGTAGCTGCTACTGCTAATCACTAGAGTCCATTGGATTGATCTCGGATTCGATGGGCTCTAGTTCTCTGAGAAACTTATAGAATGCCATAGTCACTGCATACAAAAAATCGAAAAAAAAGTATCGCGAATCTTCGAGGCAATTATTCGATTTCAATTAATCATTGAGAGTATCAAAGTATGGTTCGATCGGATCCCACGGAGCTCTATTATACGATAATGTCGAAGAATGTGGATTTAAATTTTTACTCCTATACTTCAACATTCCTTTTAGATTGTGTTTGATACAAAAAAAAAAGATTTTTCTTATTTTAGGACTTGTTACTGGTCAAGCGCTTGGTGGTGTATTTGTTGTATTATGTTCAATAGCATCAATATTATTTTCAAATGATATATCAATTTCAGCAGCTATTTATTTTCTTCTTGCTATACTTGTACTTATATCAAATATATTAACATTTATTTATATTGAAAAATCTCATTTATTACAAATTTATTCATCATCAATACAAGAAATAAATAATGAATATGAACCATTACTTCAATCATCAACATCATTAGATGATAATTATATTAATTCAATGAATATAACATCATTAGCATTACGTCAACGTTTATATGTTGCATATAAACATACAAAATGGAATTTTTTTGGTATATTTTTAACATTTATTTGTACATTATCACTTTTTCCAGCATATATGTCAAAAATTCGACCAGCATATCCATCAATAAATTATCCACATACAATATGGACTGATCGTTTATATGCTCAAGTATTAACATTTCTTTTATTTAATGTTGGTGATACACTTGGTCGTGTGATATCATCAAAAATACAAATACCATCATTATTAAAACCACGTCTTCTTTGTTTTCTATGTTTATTAAGATTTTTATTTATACCTTTATTTGGTTTATGTCATTTTCCAAATACAAATGGTTATCCATATATATTTAAAAATGATTTTATTTATGGTTTAATTGTCTTATTATTTGCTCTGTCACATGGTTATTTTAATTCAATTAATATGATGTATGCACCAAGACGTGTTCATGCACAATTAAGCAGTACTGTTGGAGCACTTATGCTTATGGTATGTTTGATATTATTCTATCAATCATAATACATTCCATCTAATACTATCAGTTCACATGTTTTATATGACTATTGTGGCATAATAATACATCATTATCTATTATCTTTGATAGTTTGAATATAAATTTTCATCTGTGGGGGAAAATCAAAAATCCGATGCCATTTTAGTCTCGACTTCAACATAAAATTATATAACAAATCTTTTATAAGCACTACTGTCGATTATCAAGATAGTATCGAAAATTGATCTCTACTTTGGATGTGTTATATGTGCCTAGAAAATAAATAGTGGCAGTCCGTATTTCAAATATATTGTCACTATAAAAATATATTTAACAGAATGCTCTTGGAGTGTATATTTATATTTTAGTTTGCAATTATGCACTATCCAAATACATCGAATGTAATTACGATGCATTCATCACTAGATTCCTACGAACTGAATGTTTTTATTGTCATCAAAAATTAGTTTTTTTTTTATCACTATATAATAACCTTTTAAAAAAAACAAATAATTATATATTCGGATAGAGCTTGAAATTCTATATCATCCTAGATATAGTTACCTATTGTCTTACATTTATTTGTAGCAATAAATAACTGAAAAATATATGGGATAATAGAGAATTTCAAGCTCTATTAGAATTCTATAATTACTTTTCTTTATAATCGAAAGTTAAAATATAAACGTACAGAATGATAGAAAACTCCAAGAGCTTTCAGAATCTATAATTATTTTATTTAAATATTTTTTTTTAATAGTGGCGATATATTTAAAATAGAGATTGCCACTATGCAATTTCAGGCGTATGTATACTAACGAGTGATCCATAAAGAGTGAATCTCGCAATATTTTGCATTTTTCTCAGCAGTCTTTCAGCGTAATGAAATAATTTTTTTGTTGATAGGTGCTTCGTTCGATTTTTCACAAAATTCCATCTTTCACTTAAACGTAACAGCATAGGTAGACCCTATGAAACGAATAGATTTTCAGAATACATCATTTTCAAAATTCATTATTTTTCATCAACCTTTTTGAGTGATTTTATCAGTCTTGCTTTTAATCATACAATGTTTCAATCAATTACCAGTTTGAAACTAACAAAATGAATTTGGAAAGTGATGTACTCTATATCCTTCTATTTCATTGGATCTAGGTATGCAGCTTCGTTTAAGTAAAAGGTATAAATTTGTAGAAGATGGAACCTGAAATCTATCAAAAAAGTAATTTGTACTCAAAAAACATTTTTTAATCTAAAAATAATTTATTGGCACAAATAAATAACAGCAAAATTTCTTAGAATATTGTTAGAGATATACATTCTCTGATATTATGCTACAGTTATCGTATTTTAAAATGATTTTTACAGATTGGTTTTTTTTTTGTCGTTATTCGAGTTTACAAGCATTTATTTTTATTTAGGCATTGACATCTGGTTTACTCGTTGGTTCATTATTATCCTATGGTGTTGTGGCTTTGTATGGTGATGATAAAGCACCAGAAAATCTATATTTTCAATAATCTGTTCATTTCTTTTTGCATATAGAAAGAACATCATATTATATCCATTTTTTTCCTTTAATTGTCTTGTACTGTAAATGCTAATAAAAAAGGGTGTTAAAAACACGATCTATCTTTTATTTTTATTCGTTACAGGATTTTTGTTTTCAAAGGAAACTTCCAATGCATTTAAAACAAGAGTAAAACAATTCTTTTTCTTTTTTGTATTTAACGTCTTTGAATACATGGGATTTTCCTTTTTTTGTCTTTCAACGGGTATTTATTCTTTACTTCTATGTATCTTTTTGTTACTGAAATTTATTTAAGCTTCGCTTATAAAAAATGTCTATCCAAGCAAACTCAACCGTTGTTACAGTACCGACTGGAAAAGACAAAAAAAAAGACAATTTGTGGAGCTTACACAAGTGAATTAGAATATGATCACTGTGGTATACAAGATGTACAAGGGCATTATTTTTGTACACAATGTTCAACTAATATTGTTCGTTTATTTTTTTCTGAACTACAAAATTATATACCTTTACGTTGTTTAATATGTCATATTGAATTAAATCCTAGTGTATTTGAACGACAATTAACACCAGAACAAATTGAATTTTATGATCAACATATGCTTATATTTGTTTGGTCAAAAGATTTTCTTCACAAAGACGAACGTTTAGATCATTGTCCATTTTGTAGTTTTGCTGCTATACGCAATATAAATGCTTCACATATTTTTCATTGTCAACATGAACAATGTCTTAAAGTTTCATGTTTAATATGTCGAAAAGTTTGTCCAAAATTTCAAAGTGATTATGGTACTGATGAAGAACTAACTGAAATGGATAAACATTTTAAATGTGCTGAATTAGCTAATGATAAACACATAGTTGATCAATATTTAGAATCAGGTCAAAAAGTTGCTTGTCCAAAATGTGGTTTAGCTGGTATGAAAGATGATGCTTGTACACATATGGCTTGTCCGACATGTGTACAATTATGGTATTATTTTTTTGTGGAAAAAAAGTTGAAGATTGTAAAAAAGCACGAGAGGGAACTAATGGTATATTTGATCATAATCATAATTGAAATTGTAATCCTAATGTCTCATCGTAATCGCTCATTACGTTTGTTACGTGAAATATGTGAAAAACTTGGTAAAGAACGTATTGATGAACTTGATCGCCATTTTAATATAATTAGTACATCTGGTTTTACAATGAAAGAAATTCTTGATGAAGATCTTACGCTAATTAAATATCCAGATAATGTTGGTACTAGACATAATGATTAAATTCTATATTGTATTTTTCTGTGAAATAATTTTTGTTTCCATGAAAGTGTTTGAAAATATTTCATATGATAATAAATGACAAAAAGTACTTTTGATTACCGAAATCTTTTGAGTTGTGATTTTTCATCATTTGTTCTCAGAACTCTACAACTAAGTCGTGCCTGATTAATAATTAAGATAGGGTGTTTCATTTTAATTGTTTCCGAATTGAGTCCATAATCTAGTTTGGTTGGTTTCCAGTTAATTTTTCAATCAAGATCAATAGTACTAACAATCAAAGTTAAGGCTTATATAATACTCGTATCTCGTGAGATGGCTATCTAGAATTCAAATTCACAAGTTATTCTACAATGCAAACATCGATCTAATCATTCTTTGGTTCTTATTCATGTCAACGACAACCGTAACTAATTTGAAGAATAATAATGTGAAATGAATACTGCAAAAAATTTCGTGATAAAAAATACTGTCATAGAGATATAAAAATTTTAAGATAAGAATAAATAATAAATATTGCTTTATCAAAACATGAAAGTTGGATAATGTAACAGTATTGAATATCTTTGTACTCATATGAAAGATTCTTTTTTGCATTAACAAACTATCATATTGAATTTAATCTTGTTTTATTATTTTTCGAAATAGAAAGATTTAAAATAAACAATAATGTTAGAGAATAGATCAATTAGAAATCAAAGAAAAACAAATTCAACTATAGAGAAGGATTTTAGAACTACAGTGTCTATTAACTGAAATCGTTTGAATCGGACTACAAACAGTCTGATATGTCATATATTCATCTTTTTTTACAATCTGTGTCAATACTTCTATCTTTATTGGATTTACATCTAAAAATGTCGATATATTAGAAGACACTCATCTGAAAATCGATTTTTTTTTAGAAATAATGTCTGCAACTTACTGATTATTTTTAGTATTTATGTCCTTAATAATATCAAAGTTGACTATAAGCAATATTTTCCTTCCATCATCATAGTGATGTATTAGTTCCAAGTTAGAAAAACTTTGAGAAGTAGCAAATAGGAGAGAACAGTCTTTTAAAAAAATGTCTTTCTTTATCGAAAACATATCGTGGAGTCACGTCAGAGATCTTTTACAATATGCCTGGAGAAAACTGAAATAAACTTGTTTACACACGATGCATTGGGCAAAAAATAAATTAACACTAAAAATTGTTGGCGAGGCTACCAAAAAATATGCCTTTTTCTTGAGGAACTCAATAGAAGACTGCGAGTTTCCTAATATGCCGAAGACTTTATACTTCCACACCCTTATGATCATTATGCTTACCTTCAATTTTATAAACAGTAACTTTTTTCACTCTCTGCATCATATAGTCGACATATACTTGCTCTACATTAAGTGCTACGATCTTTGGCTTTATTGAATCTTTAATAAATTCTTCTCGCACTTTCTGTACCCATGTTGGAAATACTGGAATAGTTTTAGTGGTTAACCGCTTACAGGGATCGGTAAGTCACAGACAGAAACAGAGAAATCATGTGTTAGCACTGAAGATTACCATTTTTGATACCTTTTCAGGCTACACTCCCCAATCCTCATACAGTGCTGTACTAGCCAGTGTGTATAATTTATAGAGTACAAAAAATATCTGATAGCATAGTTCAGCAGATAAATTATATTTGTGCTCATTCATTCAGTAGCGAAATGAACAGAAAACTAAAATGAACATAGATGTCACTGCAAAAAAATATTTTTTAAAGATTGTTGTTCGTACAGTTCAACAATGATGTCAAAGACAATAAAAAATAAGCCTATAGACTTTGGTTGATGTGTTTGGTTCACTTCTGTGTGGGCCTAAATATATATGGATATATATATCGAAAAAAAAGATGTCGCTAGAGAATTTTCTTAAAACTTAATAAAATCACCGACGTCAGTCTTTATTAGACATCGGCGTAAGGTGTCGAATAAATTGTTATATTATTTGATCACCTTACTAATAAAAAAACAAGATGTGGAGGTATTTTAATAAAAAGATTCCTATATGTATATGTCCAATGAGAAAATTAGTTTATTCGATAAGATTTTCTTCAAAATTCGGACTATCATTGATATGACTACTGATTCTAGATCGGTTTAATATGCTGAACAAAATAATATAAAATTTGATATGGAATTTAAGTTAAAAAAATATAATAAAATACATATTTATTTAACAAAAACAATACATACATGTATGTCCCCTAAGAAAACAACGTTTTTAGATAAGATTTTGGTAAAACTTAACTGTACGATAGGTTTGCCAACATATTCTATATCAGTTTGAGATGTCGAATCGAATGATCACAAAAAACTCCCACGATATTTTGATACAAACCGATTCTCCAAGACTTCCTTCAAAAATAAGGTATTTAAGCCAAATATTAAAATCCCACGGAACTTTGTCATTCTTTAAGCCAAAACTCTGATCTCAACCTTATTTTCATTTCCATCCTATACGGGAAATAGATAATGAAAAAATTGCCAGAATATCCTGATACAAAGGGTGCCTCTAAGACTTGCTGCAAAAGCAAGGCTTCTATTTCAAATATTAAAACCTCTCGTAATTTTGTTATTTTAAAAGCTAAAAATCTGATCTCAACGGTATTTTCTATGTATAAGTAACTGCTACAGAATAATCAAAAAAATTCCAGACATTAGTGAAGGGAAGGTCTCCAAGACCATTCTCTGAAAAACTAATGGTATTTCAGGGAAAAAGAAATCCTCACAGAACTTTTTTATTATACCTCAGAAAAATCTAATCTCAACGTTATTTTCTATCGTATTGGTCGCTCGTATGGAATAATCAAAAAAATTCCAGAGATTAGTGAAAGGAAGGTCTCCGAGAACATTCTCTCAAAAAACTAATGGTATTTAAAGGAAGAAAGAAATCCTGGCAGTACTTTTTTATTCTACACGATAAAAATCTGATCTCAACATTGTTTTCTATAGTATAAGGTACTGGAATAAGGGGTGAGAGTGAGGATGTGAGTTTCATTAGAAATTATTCCAAGCTTCTTACGATATATATGTTTCGATCCTTGCTTAAGGGATCAGTCGTCAGGTAAGTTCGGAATAAAAATTCTACATAAATAAAGAAATTATCAAGATTTCAAAGAAAATTCTTAAGAGTGAATCAAAAATTGAGAAACTCTCAAAAATTAACTTAAAAAAAAGAATGAGAAATTTATGTATTATTAACGTAGATATTCTAATAAAACGGTGAGTTATAGCTATCAGGATAGCAGGTATTTCGAAAATGCTTAAGGATCTTATCAAATGGCTTCGTCTATTTTGAATTAAAAAGGCCAAAACAGGATTTGAATATTTCACTGTTACTTTATAAAAAATAGTAATAGAAAACTGTCTTGAGTGTGTGAGTTTTAAAGAGAAAAGATGATTCAAAGCATCATACGACGCATTGCGATAGTTGCTTAGACTATCAATCATCAGGTATGTTTAGAATCAAAAAAACTACCGTGTGCATCATTGAAATGTTAACTTGGAAGCATTTTTTATTATGTATGGAATCGTATGAATAATAACTGGGAAAGAATTTTTAGATGGAATTGGATTGTTTATGTTAAATGGAGTTTTTCGCATATTTGTAGATAATTATATCAATTTGAAAATGATTTCGATAGAAATTGTATTCAGGTAAATATGGCTTTAGAAAGTAATTCATTATGAGTTTGAGTTATTGTGTAATATTTTTTCGTAATGAATCGCATTAATCGAATTCAGTGGTTGAAACCTAAAAGAATGATTTGTAATAATATGAGTAGAAGACTAAGATATCTGTAATACCTTGGGTCATTGTTGTCGATGACTCATATAGTTGAGTCCATGTTCACATGTATGGTGGCCTTTAGCGACCTGTTTGGTTTGTACATATATTTCTGATCAAGATTAAACAATTTGGAATCTATTGTTGTAGAAAATTCTTGATTTTGTCTGTTTCGTTTGCAAGGACATCGAGTTTATTATCATTCCTTTCGCCTTCACCCTCAGACAGAGTTGTACCCACTAATTTGCGATTCAGATTATGAAGTATATCAAGTTGACGTGACCATTCGAAGCAGAAGTGATCGGTTTTTCTTCTCTTCCATAACCGTACGATCATTTCAGAAACCGGCCTGTACTAAAATTTCGTATCGATATTTATAAGGCTAATCCATGTCAATTATAATTATATAAATGAGTTATAATTCAAACTTTAGCCTTTGGCCTTTAGCCAAAATTTTACATGGATAAGCCATCTGAATTATAATTATATAATTGAGTTATAATTCAAACTTTGACCTTTGGCAAAAATTTTACATGAATAAGGCATGTCAATTAGAATTATATAATTGAGAAAATTTTTTTCCGACTCGGAAGGCCTTGTTGAATTTTTTTTTTGAATTATTTTATAATCGTCAGGAGGCTTTCAAGAGTCATTTATATTCGAACTCGAATTGGCCAACTCATGCAACTATATGGAGATGTCCACTATGAGAGGTTTAACTGTATCTCAATTCTTTTTCATCATGATTAAATGATTTAGAAAAGATTGTTAATAATTTAATTCAAATCTGATATATCTCTTTGAAACACATTCACAATAAAAAGATTTTTCTTTCTAATAAAACATTTGATAAATCTTCATTAAAAAAGATTTCTTCAAAATATTGACCTATCAGATCTAAAAACATCCAATATTTCTTTTCGTATGTGTGACAATTTCATTAAAATTCTACATTTGAAAAACGAAAAAAAATAAAATTGTTAAAAGGAAATGATTTTTTTCTTCGAAACAAATCATTTAAATTAAGAATGATTATTGATTTTCATAATAATGAACTGACATTGACAAGATCAATCATATATTGATGAAGAAAAATTCTTTTTAAACAAATAATTCATCGATGAAGACAAATGTTTTTTTTTCTTTCTCATTCATTGAAAGATTTTCATTGTTGAAGGTGATGAAGAGATTTATTTATATTCTCTTTCAATAACAAAAAAAGATTTTTCTTTCAGAGATTATCCTAGTATTGATCTCATTTCAATATTATTTTATTCTATAAATAAAAGAAACTTTTCAGAGTTTAATCAAATGTTAATATGAGAATTAACAAATTTTCTTCTAATTTAAATCAATTTTCATGTATTTGATAAAAATTATTTCTATATAAAAAGCATTTAGCGTTATCCGTATGGGATTCAAAATGTCAAACACGACAATCCTCCAACTTCTGACAACAACGAAATGGTTCGATTCTGTCATTTGACAATACCTTTTCACATCATTCGAATTTTTCTTCCAAATATCCCTTTACATCACAAAAGATCGTTATCCTCTCTCTCTCACTTTCCCTTGTGCGATCATATGTATATCTGTCACATTTGTGATAAAGCTTTTTCAACATGTCTGTCACGGCAGTTCGAAGGTCGAAATTTCTGCCTCTAAACATTTCAACATTCCTTTTCAAGTAATGTTTGACAAAATAGATTAAAATTTCAATGGGATAAATTCAAATATTTTATTGGAAATCATTTCTGAAAAATGTTTTTCATTTAAACAAACTAAAGAATGTTTCGTTTAATTAACCCTTTGACGGTGGACTTATTTTTTCCGATAAAAAGTGAAGTTGAATTACCGAAATCAATTATGCTATCTCAGTTAGCACTGATTAGAAGTGTTTGATTTATTAGAGTCGATTTAAAGATGCTTCGCTCTGCAAAAGATTCCTGTCTATGCTGTTCGCTATCTTCATTATCGAATTCATTATCAAACTCGCAAGTAGAATCAGTGTCTAATTCATCGTCTAATTCGGAATCTGTAAGGCTTTCAGCAACATCAGAATCAGTTGTACTAATAGATGCCATAATAATCCAGAAAAAAATTCAGAATATGCCAAAAAGAGTCAGTGTAATGTATAAAGTTGAGTAATAACAATTAGTACTATTGCCGTCTCTTTGCAAATATAATTTTATTCAATCACTCTGTACGATTTACATGATAAGGGCATTCCTATTTATACTACTTCAACAGAATATTCTGGAATACCAAATAAAACGATTGGTCTCGTATGAGTCATCGAAAGTAAGTTACGAAAGAGACCCCTAGTTGTCACAACATGTCGCTAGTGAGTTTCTTCAAGCGGTCTTCAAAAACCACAGAAAAAAAATAGTGAATAAAAGCGTTATCATCCTATTCAGTTTGAAACCGTAAATTTACGGGCTTCGCCGTCAAAGGGTTAAGGATACTATTTGCTACTCCTCTTACTGTTTTGATTGCTGAACTTATTACTAAAAGTAATCTGAATAAGGATATAGATAATAACGATAATTGTGATGGACTTGATACAGACTACGCGTTGAAATGAATTGCATCACAAAAGATTTAAGTCATTGACTTATTTCGCAGTTTTTTTTCTATTCTCTTTCTTTTTTCTCTCCAATACAATATTAAGCACTTTTAAAAAGATGTGCAAATGAAAAAGGTTGATGGGGATGGTGAGAGAATGAGGTAAGCACTGATGACGCGTTTCGATCTAGCCTAAAGATCTCATCAGTTGGTTTCATCCATGGAGACACATAGGTTCTCTTTTCGATGATCTTTAGATCATGTTGGACAACGTTAAAGTAAAGCAAAAATCATAGATTGGACAAAAAGAAAAGCATAGAATACTGATTGTCTGTCATTTTGCACACTAAATAAGCAGGATTCATTCAATCATATTAAATAAAATTTGTTCTAAAAATTCTTCTTGAAATGAATCTTCTCTTTCTGTCTGGTAAAATCGTTCACTTGAATCATTAAAAATTATTTGAAAAGAAAAAAGAACAAAATGCAATGCGATCTTAAATTTTGTTACAAATGGGATGTTCGAAATTTTGAAAAACTACACATCTATGTTTGTACAATTTTAATCATCCCAGGTCAATCAATTCGACACGGATCCGATGGTATCTTATAGGATCCAACGAGTCCTACAAAATCCGATCGGAATCTGGGCCCCGATCCGACGAACAAATCCTAGTTTTGGAATCCGAGAGACATCCGATCGGATCCGACAGAGATCCGATCAAATTCAACAGTCGGATTCGATAGGAACTCCAGCAGTCAGATTCCGACGAGGTTCCTATAGTATCCTATCGGATTCCAATACTATGGATCCGTTAGTCGGATCGTGACCCGGATCCAATAAAATCCTATAGGATCTGGATAGGATTGGATAGGATCCGATGGGATCCACTGTAGGATTGTTCGTCCTGGGATTTTGAATGTTTTACGAGCAACTGGAGAGATTTAACAATGAATAGAAAGGTTTCATGTTTCGAAAAAATAATTAATAGATCTTGTTCTATTTTTACATTTGATTATTACGTAAAAAAAGATAAGTAAAAAGTGAAAATTGACTGTTGTAACAAAAAACAAAATTTATGTTTAGACATAAATAATGTGCTGAGAATATTTCTAATTATTCTACGACATCTATACGGTGACTTTCAAAATGAGAAAAAAAAATAAAGAGAATGTTTTTTAAGAAAATTTCAGTACAAAATATCCTTTCTTTTTTCAATTATCTCTGATTCAAATACTTTTTGTCTTTTAGAATATTGTGATTTATGTAGAAATTTTTTTTCCAATACTTTATATGAACAATTGTTTTATCCATGAAATTTGGAAACCGCGAAAGAGGAATAAAATCTAAATGTAAAAGATGGATAAACGAAAGAATCGAAATAACATCAGAATATAAATAATCTATATAAAATATTTTTTCGTTTTTTTCAACAATTTTCTCTATCCGAGATTTTTCACACATTAAATGATATCTTTTATGTTTTAGGTTAATTATGAATCAAGGCGACAAATTCAAGTTTTTCTATAAAATTTTCCATGAATACATCATCAAAAAGACCATTGAGGAGGTTGCAACTCGTCACGTGACGAGTTGAATTTTTCAGAAAAAACAAGGCTTTCGTAACGTTAAAAATAGGGATATACGAAAAAACAGGGATATCATAACAAAATTTACAGGGCAATCGTAGCTGTTATTTACAGGGAGTCCGTAACAGTTTCAGAGTTTTCGCAACGAGCCAACAGGGATTTCGTAACAAAAATTAGGGATATTGTAACGAAGCCACATATCAAACCACCGGTTACGATCACCCTGTAAAATTCGTTACGATAGCTCTGATTTTTTGTTATGGAAGCCCTGATTCTGTCGTTACGAAACCTCTGTTACGGGCTTTCGTACTGTCAATTTGTTACGAAAGCCAGACAAGAAAAATCGTGACGAGTTGTAACTTTCCCAAAACATTCATACCATATATGACGTGAGAAAAATCTTATCAATTATATTATTCTATTTCATGAATTTTAGAAGAATTCTGATTTCGTCGAATTGGCAAATGCTTCCAATAGACGATTGGCATTAAACCACATCTATGAAGATATGAAATTTGCATTAGTTATTGCTATAAAAACAGGTGAAATAAGTTTTCGTATAGAAGTAAGCAAATTATTTTTGTGCGATAAAAAGATAAAGTACAAAAATAATTTCATTTGTTTTAGAACAATCAAATTGGTCTTGGTTATGATATAAGAAAAACATTACAAATCAATTCCTTTGTCAATTTTAACAAGAGTTTAAAAAAACTCGAGTAAGATATGATGATATTCCATAAGAAAAAAAGGTCAACCTTATTTTCGTTTATTACAGATAGACTGATCAATGAAAATGAATTCGATCATACCGTGCATATTATAACTAATGAAATGCTAATCGAATTAAATAATTTCAAATAAAAATCAACTGAAAAAGGTGATAGTACATTACAAATGAATTCATCAACACAAGTTGTTGTTGAACAAAAAGATATCGATGGTGAACAAGAAGATAGTGGTGTTGATGCATTCGATATCTTGGCAGAAGTCATTCAAGAAAACAAACCAAGAATCATATCTGAACAAGAACCAGAAGTTTTAAAAATTAAGGATTACTTGAAAAAATAAATAGATGATTAACGAATTTTTTCAAAGAAAAAAAGGAATAAATAGATTTTTTTACAAATCTTTCGATGCTAAAATAAGTCGATATTTTTCTTTTTCTTTTTATCTTCAAGAACACAAATAGCGTTCAACATTAAATACTTCACATACTAGCGAACAATATACATTTGAAAGATATTTGTACTCTTAAATTTAGAAAACAATCGAGATCTGATGAACAATCAAATGAATAAATCAATAAATGATGTAGTAAAATTCAAAATAATTTTATGTGAAAAAAAAGGACAATCCGTTCCGTTCGACTTGTAACTTAACTAAGCGTATTACACTTTTTTAAATGAGAATGAGAATTGATTGTAAGTTTGAATAGTCGTAGCAGAACAAATACATTGAGAAACGATATTCATTGTACAAATCATTTACAATTCACATATACATTGCAGAGAGAGACATCGAACAAGTATCGCTTATTACCATTGAATTGTTAATAATAATATTATACAATAATTATTTATGATATCTAAGAAAACTCTATTCATTTTTATCTTAACTGTTTGTTATTTTTTATAGTATCTAATGAATATAAGACCACAGATGATCTACCTGAACTCATTCAAATCGAAATATATTTTCAATACGATCGGATACAATGTGTTAATTCAAAAAGAAACATTTTGTTTTAATGAGCGATAAGACAAAGATCAAATGATAATAATGCAAGATGAAATATCATGGTTCCAGTCTTATTAGATTCTATAATTAAGACATTGAAACATTGACAAAATTCATTCCATATCAGAATTGACTTCGAATAAAATTGTTAGAAAAAAATTTATTCGAAAGAAAAACAAAATTTGAACAAATTCTTTTCACTTAATATATATTCCACCCATATATTTGTTATGGAAAATCTTTCAATTTAGATTATTTTTTTGTATTTTAATAAAAGATAATTTTCTTTTATTAAATATAAGATTGTTGTTCTTTTTCAATATCTTCTTGGATTAATTATTTTGGCAATAGGAAAATATTTTCCTAAAGAATTTTCACATTTCAATTCATCATTACCACATAAATATAATTTATCAACTTTTGCACAATTAATTCGTGTGCATTCTCTTGTGAAATTGTGTGTTATTCGTTCTAAAGATTCATATTCAATAAAAAGGTTGACATTTTTCGTTAAATATGTTTTTGTATGAAATAGAAATTCTTCTATATAATTATCATGAACATCGTTGAGACCAGGGATGTGGCGAAGAGAAAAAAGTGGAGGGGTGCAAGAGAAATTTTTTGAAAAATTGAGGGTGTATTTAAAAAATTTTTGAACATGAAATAATGCATTTACGAAATTTTAAAAAGTGGGGGGGGGGGTGCAGATCCTTATTTTTCCATCTCACGATCTTTTTTTTCAATAAATTTAACAAATTTTTGCTGGGAAAAAGCGAAAATTTTCTAAAAGTGAGGGGGTGCGCACCCCCCCTGCACCCCGTGGTCGCCACATCCCTGGAGTTGACTATAGGCAATATTTTCCTTCCATCATCATAGTGATGTATTAGTTCCAAGTTAGAAAAACTTTGAGAAGTAGCAAATAGGAGAGAACAGTCTTTTTAAAAAAAGTCTTTCTTTATCGAAAACATATCGTGGAGTCACATCAGAGATCTTTTACAATATGCCTGGAGAAAGCTGAAATAAACTTGTTTACAAACGATGCATTGGGCAAAAAATAAATTAACACTAAAAATTGTTAGCGAGGCTACCAAAAAATATGACTTTTTCTTGAGGAACTCAATAGAAGTCTCTCTTGTAACTTATGAACAATAAAATAGAATAGAAGACTGCGAGTCTCCTAATGTGCCGAAGGCTTTATACTTCCACACCCTTATGATCATTATACTTACCTTCAATTTTATAAATAGTAACTTTTTTCACTCTCTGCTTTATATAGCTGACATATACTTGCTCTACATTAAGTGCTACGATCCTAGCTAGTGTGTATAATTTATAGAGTAAAAAAATATCTGATAGCATAGTTCAGCAGATAAATTATATTTGTGCTGATTCATTCAGTAGCAAAATGAATAGAAAAACTAAAATGAAAATAGATGTCACTGCAAAAATATATTTTTTTAGAGATTGTTGTTCATACAGTTCACCAATGATGTTAAAGACAATAAAAAAACTTGGTAGCTGAAATAATATTTATTTTCAGAGTATCTTACGTTCTGATCGGATAGGAACTATATAGTTATAGAAGAACCAATTTGCTAGTTGTGACCATATGAAACATGAGATAGAAGTTCTGAACTGGATCTAAATTACGAGACATTTTCATGCTATGTTGATACTACAGGTGGATTCAGCGTACTGATATTATCTGGTGCATGTTAAACTGTGAGATGCGAAAATCCGGAAAAATTTTCTGAAAAAAAATCACAATTCGTTTAAGTTCGGTATCAAGTAGGAGTAACTGATTCTTTCCGAAAAACTTTCTGATTAACCGACCTATACCGGTAGTTTACCATGGTAAATGAAACCGGTAATCGGATTGATGAAACCACAGTAAACTACCTGTTTTCATTACATGAGTATAGTTTGCGCAATGTTTTGACCATTCATTACTAGTTAATGTTTCTGCTCAATCAACATTATCAAATGTTGCTTCGTTAGTCCAATATATTGATCTCTGTTTTTTTTTTGGCAAGGTCTTTCGCTTCCCTTTATTTAATACTTTTCTTCGACAATCTCTTCATCTGATGTATCACTTTTATAGAACATATTGCACCACATCCATCTTATTGTTTTACTCATAGACTCTGAGCGGAAGTTGGAGGAAAGAATAGAAACAAATACTACCTATATACATGTTGTACATGATATGTCTATCAGGTGACAATATGAAAAGAAGAAGAAAAAAGTGTGTCACACTATAACGCATTTCAATTTCTATACTTACCGATCGATTTCATTGACTGTCAGTAAATTTTATTTACTAATCATTCAATTAATCTACTGATTTTATAATTAATTAATTTATTGATCATTTCATCTATTTTATTGACTAGATATTTTTTTCTCTATCAAAAGATGATGTTAACTTTATTTTTCTAAAAAATAATGATCATGCATCTCTCTGTTTTATGTAGTAAACAAATTGTTTTTTTTTATTCGTCGCAATCTTTCTTCCTGTCAAAGGAAACTTCCAATGCGTATAAAACAAGACGAAAGCAATTCTTTTTCTTTTACCTCGTGGTTTTTCTTTTTTGTGTTTAACGTCTTCGATTGCTTGGCTTTTTCCCTTCATTTCTTTTTTTGTTAATGGGTATTTATTCTTTACTTCTATGTACATTTTTGTTACTGAAATTTATTTAGACTTCACTTATAAACAATGTCAATACAAGTAGACTCAACCATTGTTACAGCACCGACTGAAAAAGACAAAAAAAAGACAATTTGTGGAGCTTGCACAAGTGATTTAGAACCTGATGACTCTGGTATACAATGTGTACAAGGGCATTATTTTTGTACACAATGTTCAACTAATATTGTTCGTTTATTTTTTTCTGAACCACATAATTATATACCTTTACGTTGTTTAATATGTCGTATTGAATTAAATCCTAGTGTATTTGAACGACAATTAACACCAGAACAAATTGAATTTTATGATCAACATATGCTTATATTTGCTTGGTCAAAACATTTTCTTGACGAAGATGAACGTTTAGATCATTGTCCATTTTGTAGTTTTGCTGCTATACGTAATATAAATGCTTCACATATTTTTCATTGTCAACATGAACAATGTCTTAAAGTATCATGTTTAATATGTCGAAAAGTTTGTCCAAAATTTCAAAGTGATTATGGTACTGATGAAGAACTAGCTGAAATGGATAAACATTTTAAATGTGCTGAATTAGCTGATGATAAACACATAGTTGATGAATATTTAGAATCAGGTCAAAAAATTGCTTGTCCAAAATGTGGTTTAGCTGGTATGAAAGATGATGCTTGCACACATATGACTTGTCCGACATGTGCACAATTATGGTGTTATTTTTGTGGAAAAAAAGTTGAAGATTGTGAAAAAGCACGAGATGGAACTAATGGTATATTTGATCATAATCATAATTGGGATTGTAATCCTAATCGATGTCCAATGTATTTAACTCAAGTATGTGACATTGATGATCGATGGCCTGATGATGAAGAACAATGTTTAGTTATGTTTCATCGTAATCGTTCATTACGTTTATTACGTGAAGTATATGAAAAACTTGGTAAAGAACGTATTGATGAACTTGATCGTCATTTTAATATAATTAGTACATGTGGTTTTACAATGGAAGAAATTTTCGATGAAGACCTTACGCTAATTAAATATCCAGATAATATTGATACGCGACGTGATGATTAAATTTTATATTGTGCTTTTTCAGTCAAATAAATTTTTTTTATGAAATTATTTAAAAATATTTCACATGATAAATGACAAAAAGTACTTTTGATTATCAAAGTTTTTAGAGTAATAATTTGCCGTTATTTCTTCGTGAGGATCTATCATCAACTCGTCCCTAGTTCGGATTTAAGATAGACTGTCGCGTTTTAATTGTTTTCGAATTGAGTTCATATCGATTTTGATCGGTTTCCAATTTGGCCCTGATTAATTTTCAATCAAGATCGATGAGGATAGAAAGTAATGTTGAGAAAATTCGTATATTATTAGATGACTATCTAGAATTCAAATTCACAAGTTATTCTACAATACAAACATCAATCTAATCATTATATTTACTATTTCTGTCATCACTTATTGGTCATGCTTTATTTTACAACTACGGAATGAAATCAAAAGATGCTGAACTAATTGGGCTCTCAATACATCGTCAAACGTGTAAACAAGACCTCTTGTTGAATAGCGTTGTCGAAACCCAATATGTTGATGTAAGGCATGAGTGAGCAAGAAATATGTTCCATATTCTCAAATTATCTCTGTGATTCAA